ACATGTATAAAAATATATACAATGGACGTTCTGTACACACATTGTTTATACTGTGTGTGTGTGTGTGTGTGTGTGTGTGTGTGTCGTTCGTGCATATCATGTATCCTCATTAGTGTCTTTTCCCCCTTCTTTATCCCCTCTCCCCACCGCTCCCCCCCTCCTCTACCTCTCCCCTCCACTTCCTCTACTCCTTCCTTCCTCTCTCCACTTCCCGTCTCACCCCCAAAAAAAATCAAATAATCTCTTTAAAAAATAACTAAAAATAATAATAGTCTTTCACCCAAAAATAGCAAAAACAATATATATAACTTTTCCCCCAAAAATAACCAAAATAATGTCTCTCCAGGAAATAGGAAAAAAAAAAAAAAAAAACAATAGGCCTTTCCCCAATATAGCCAAAAAAAAAGTCTATCTAATATCTCCAAAATAGGAGAAAAGTAATATATCTCCGCCATATCGCCCGGGACAACGAACACAAGTGGATGACCATCTCCCAAACGCTGACTGGATCTGGTGGACAAATACGTGTTCACAAGCACACACACACACACACACACACACACACACACACACACACACACACACACACACACAATTAACAGTCACAACTCGACATCATTACCTTTATGGCTCATTAAAATATGATCATTAACCATTATTTAATCAGAGGTGTGGTGGCTGGTGGAGGGGGTGGGTGAGGAAGAATAGAGGCAGGGGGAGATGTAGAGGCAGTGAGGGAGGAGGGGTGATGGAGGGAATGGGGTGGAAAGAGTGGGAGGGATGGAAGTGCTGGAGGGATGAAAGATGAGGGAGGGAGAGGAGTGGGTAGGAGGGAATGTTAGAAAGAGAGAGAGAGTATAGTGAAGAAATTGTGCTATATGTGGGTGTTTGTGTGTGTGTGGGAGGAGGTATTCGCCACGTTCTACCTACTATAGTACCAATCCCACCTCACCCACACACACCACCACCCCACCCACACACCACTCACCTCTTCCGCTTTACAGGCCGACAACACCAGGCGGGAATTAAAAAGGGTAAATAATTACGAAAAACAGTGGAAAATCCAAACCAGTCTCCCGAAATTCACAGTGATCCCCTTATGCAGAAGGAAAACCCATCCATTAGTAACCAATAATGCCCAGATAGAATACAAAAGCAGAGGCACCCTCTTGGGCCTGCATATATCCACGACAGGTTATTCCCATCATGTCCACACCAGGAAGGAAAAGGCAAGAAGAGAGCTGAGAAAACTATGCCGCTTTAAAGCGCTTCCTGAGAAAATAAAACTCCGCCTGGTGACACCATTTATCACACCGATATTAACTTACCCAGCAGTACCTCTTCATACTATGAGCACCACTCAAATACGTATAAAAGTTATAGGTGGTCCAAATTGAAGCCCTAAGATTCGTCGCAGGTGAAAGATACCCCTTTACCAGAACCACAGCCAAGATACATAGAGACCTGAGAATAAAACCCATCAACCAGCAGCTACACACCCTGGTCAGCAGAGTCTGGCAAAAGATCAGAGCAAGAACTCCTTCAAAGACTCCCACCAGATAACGACAACAACCATACATGGTTCCTAAAAAGTTACCAAATCTCAAAAGATCCATTACCAACCCCTATCTATACAGCCAGGCAATAGACAACCTCCCTAGACCAGCATCCGCCAGTAGGATCGGCGGAATATGAAATAAGTCCCTCAAAACACCCATATGGGATAAGGTAGGCTGTCTAGTGCCTGAGTCGACAGGCAACAAATAACCCATGACACTTCCCAAACACACCATTAGCCCTCTCTTACCTCCTCCTAAATTTCTTAAATTTCCGAACTATAACTTCCTTCCCCCACCTCTAATCTTCTTCCACCCTCCTTTCCCTAAAAGAAAAAGAAAAAAAGAACCTCTTCCACCTACTCCCCCCACACACAAGTCCCACACACACACACACACACACACACACACACACACACACACACACACACACACACCACCCCTCCCCCACCCTCCCCACACAATTGGTCTAGGCCACAAAAAACGCGCCAACAGAGCAGAAAGAAGCCTTATGGTGACTGGCTGGGTATTGTTAGTGGTTGATAGGTCAGGTGGGCCTTATTTTCCTCGTCATTATCAACTCTTTCCAAACAACTGAACAAAACTAATCAATCGTAGCGCCATTTTGAACCTTCGTGAGGACGGCGGGAGGGCGTGTCGACAGTACCAGGGGGGATGGTGTTGGTGATGGTGTTGGTGGTGATGATGGTGGGGTTGGTGATGCTGGGGTTTTGTTGGTGATGATAGTGAGTAGTGTTGGTGATGATGATGGTGGGAGGTGTTGGTGATGATGGGAGGCTTTGTGTGTGTGTGTGTGTGTGTGTGTGTGTGTGTGTGTGTGTGTGTGTGTGTGTGTGTGTGTGTGTGTGTGTGTGTGTGTGTGTGTGTGTGTGTGTGTGGGGCGTACATTACAGTATCTCCTCCACACATGTCCGGGTGGTCGTTGTGTTGTGATGTGGCAACACTGACCACCACAGCGGCTGCCTCCCCCTCCTCCCCCTCCCCAGCACAAGTCATGCCCTCCTGCAGGTGTCCAGATGTAGGGCACGTGGACAGCCCTGAAATCACTCCAGCCTTTGGTTAATATTCTCACCTTCGAGCTACCTGTAGATTACACACCCTAGTTTAATTCACCTGAATATTAACCACCCTAATGCTACTTGGAGGGGTTAGGTTATGTTAGGTTAGGGTATGTTAGATTAGGTTTGGGTACGATTAAGTTAGGTTAGATAAGGCTGAGTACAGTTAGGTTAGGTTAGTTTAGGATGGATTATGTTAAATTAAATTAGATTAGCGTTAGTGTAAGTTAGATTAGATTAACATGAGAGTGGTTAAACTTCAGGTGATATAATGCCCGGGGGGGAGGGGGTAATATACACAGGTAAGCCACATTATCTCTCTCTCTCTCTCTCTCTCTCTCCCCACCTTACCGACCACAAGACACTAAAGAGAGTTAATAAAACACAACAAAGCATCGTCTGTGTGTGTGTGTTTCTCTTTTCGTGTTCGTCTTCTCTCATTAGCTTCTCCTTCAGGCTTTTTTCTTTGGGGGGAGAGGTGAGGCTGACGAAGGGTCCACCAGATTGATTAAAATTCCCCTCACAATTCTTGTCTACCAATCTCCCCTCTCTGCTATCCTTCGCTATCCTGTCCCCTCACGTTCTGTCTTCTTCTTCTTCTTCTTCTTCTTCTTCTTTTGCTACTGTATATTCCTCACCTCTCACTCTCAACACTGCTCCCTTCTCTTCCTCTCTTCCTCCTCTCGCTATATTCCTCCTGTTCTTGCTCTATTCTGCTCCCTTCCTCTACCTTCTTTTATTCCTCCTCCCTCTCTCCTCTTCTCCTCTCTCCTCCCTCCCTCCTACCTCCCCTCCTCTCTCTCCTCCTCTCCTCCTCACTCTCCTCCTCCCCTCTCCTCCTCCTCTCCTCTCTCACCTCTCTCCTCCTCCTCCTCCTCTCTCCTCCTCCTCTTCTCTCACCTCTCTCTCTCCTCCTCCTCCTCTCTCCTCCTTATCCTCTCCCACCTCTCTCACCTCCTCCTCCTCCTCCTCTCTCCTCCTCCTCTTCTCTCACCTCTCTCTCTCCTCCTCCTCCTCTCTCCTCCTTATCCTCCTCCTCACTCAAGCGTCTGTCGTTGTGTTTATGAAGGTCTCTTGGGTGTGTTGCTACATGATGCTTAGGTGTTGTAATGTGCTTATTGTCTTCCTCCTCCTGCTCTCACTCTTCTTTCTCTTCCTACTCTCACTCTTCTTTCTCTTCTTGCTCTCACTCTTCTTCCTCTTCCTGCTCTCACTCTTCTTTCTCTTCCTACTCTCACTCTTCTTTCTCTTCTTGCTCTCACTCTTCTTCCTCTTCCTGCTCTCACTCTTCTTTCTCTTCCTACTCTCACTCTTCTTCTCTCCTGCTCTCACTCTTCTTTCTCTTCCCCTACTCTCTCTTCTTCACTCCTCCTGCTCCACTCTTCTTCCTCTTCCTCCTCTCACTCTTCCTCCTCCTGCTCTCCTCTTTTTCACTCCTCCTGCTCTCCTCTTCTTCCCTCCTCCCTGCTCTCCTCTCTTCTTCCTCTTCCTGCTCTCCTCCTTCCTCCTCCTGCTCTCACTCTTCTTCTTCCTCCTGCTCTCACTCTTCTTTCTCTTCCTCTCCTCTTCTTCCTCCTCCTGCTCTCACTCTTCTTCCTCTTCCTGCTCTCCACTCTTCCTCCCTCCTGCTCTCCTCTTCTTCTTCCTCCTCCTCCTCACCCCTCCTCCTCCTCCTCCTGCTCTCCTCTTCTTCCTCTTCCTGCTCTCCTCTTCTTCTTCCTCCTCCTCCTCCTCCTCCTCCTCCTCCTGCTCTCCTCTTCTTCTTCCTCCTGCTCTCACTCTTCTTCCTCTCCTGCTCTCCTCTTCTTCCTCTTCCTGCTCTCCTCTTCCTCCTCCTGCTCTCCTCTTCTTCTTCCTCCCCTGCTCTCACCTCTTCTTTCTCTTCCCTACTCTCCTCTTCTTCCTCCTCCTGCTCTCTCTTCTTCCTCTTCCTGCTCTCCTCTTCCTCCTCCTGCTCTCCCTCTTCTTCTTCCTCCTGCTCTCACTCTTCTTTCTCTTCCCTACTCTCACTCTTCTTCCTCCTCCTGCTCTCACTCTTCTTTCGCTTCCTACTTTCACTCTTCTTTCTCTTCTTGCTCTCACTCTTCTTCCTCCTCCTGCTCTCACTCTTCTTCCTCCTCCTGCTCTCACTCTTCTTTCTCTTCCTACTCTCACTCTTCTTTCTCTTCTTGCTCTCACTCTTCTTCCTCCTCCTGCTCTCACTCTTTTTCCTCTTCCTGCTCTCACTCTTCTTCCTCCTCCTGCTCTCACTCTTCTTCTTCCTCCTCCTCTCTTCCTCCTCCTGCTCTCCAATCTTCTTCTTCTCTTCACCTGCTCTCCTCTTCTTCTTCCTCCTGCTCTCCTCTTTTCCTCCTCCTCCTCCTCCTCCTCCTCCTCCTCTCACTCTTCTTCCTCCTCCTGCTCTCACTCTTCTTGCTACTGCTCCTCCTCTTCCTGCTCTTCTTCCTCTTCCTACTCCTCCTCATCTTTCTCTTTCTGCTCGTCCTCCTCCTCCTCCTCCTCCTCCTCCTCCTCCTCCTCTGGTAGTGATGGTGATGATGTCTGTAAACTGACTTATATACGACGATGATGATGATAATTACGATGGTGTAGGATAGTGATAGTGATGGTGTCGGATGGTGATGATGTAGGATAGTGATGGTATAGGATGGTGATGGTGATAGTGATAGTGATGGGGTCGGATGGTGATGATGTAGGATAGTGATGGTGTAGGATGGTGATGGTGATGGTGATAGTGATGGTGTCGGATAGTGATGGTGTAGGATGGTGATGGTGTAGGATGGTGATGGTGATGGTGATAGTGATGGTGTCGGATAGTGATGGTGTAGGATGGTGATGGTGTAGGATGGTGATGGTGATGACAGTGGGCCAGGGTTGTGGGAGTTACAGGCTGGGGATAATGAAAGGGTCAACTTCCGCTCTATCTTTGGGGAACCTGGATGTGGGCCAGGCGAGGAGGAGGAGGAAAGAGTGGTGCAGGAGAGGTGAAGGAAACGAAGAAAGGGTGTTGAAGAAGAAGGAAGGAGAGGTGTAGGAGGAGAAGGAGGAAGGAGTGATGGAGGAGTTAGAGGAAGGAATTTTAGAGGGAGAGGAAGAAGGGGTGTTGGAGGAAGAGGTAGGAGTGTTGGAGGAGGAGGAAGAGGTGGTGTTGGAGGGTGAGGTTAAAGTATTGGAGGAAAAGGCAGGAATGTTGGTGGAAGGGTGTTGGAGCCAGGAGGAGGATTAAGAAATGCTGGTGGATAGAAGGAGGAATGTTGGAGGAGGAGGAGGGAGGAAAGTTGGATGAGTGGGTGTAAAAGGGGGAGGTGTTGTGTCAGCTGGTGATGGTGGCATGTCAGCTGGTGATGGTGATGGGGGCATGTCAGCTGGTGATGATGATGGGGGCATGTCAGCTGGGTGGTGTGGTGGCATGTCAGCTGGTGATGTGGGCATGTCTGGTGATGGTGATGGGGCATGTCGCTGGTGATGGGCATGTCAGCTGGTGTGGGCATGTCAGCTGGTGATAGTGATGAGGGTATGTCAGCTGGTGATGGTGATGGGGTATGTCAGCTGGTAATGGTGATGGGGGCATGTCGCTGGTGATGGTGATGGTGATATGTCAGCTGGTGATGGTGGCATGTCAGCTGGTGATGGTGATGGGGGCATGTCAGCTGGTGATGGTGATGTCAGTTGGTGATGGTGGCATGTCAGCTGGTGATGGTGACGGGGCATGTCGGCTGGTGATGGTGATGGGGCATGTCAGCTGGTGATGGTGATGAGGCATGTCAGCTGGTGATGTGGGCATGTCAGCTGGTGATGGTGACGGAGGTATGTCAGCAAGTGATGGTGATAGAGCATGTCAGCTGATGGTGGTGATGTGGGCATGTCAGCTGATGATGGTGGGTGGGGAGGGAGGATGTCAGGCACCTCCTGACGCGGCACAGCTGTTGTGAGAAGCCTCCAGCTGACTCGAGTACTCAGCTGTACGCATCGACACTTTCATTCATCTACATCACTTTTTATACATCACGTGAAGGCGAGCCAATGAGTAGTCTGTCTGTCTGTCTGTCTGTCTGTCTGTCTGTCTGTCTGTCTGTCCAATACGCCCTGAAGGCATTTTGTTTCATGGGGGGTAATTTTAGGTTAAGGGAGGAAAGAAGTGAATGACCGTGAAAAGTACAAAATGATAATCTCTCTCTCTCTCTCTCTCTCTCTCTCTCTCTCTCTCTCTCTCTCTCTCTCTCTCCCCGTCTGCCACCTGCCCCTTAGGACGTAGTACCATCTGGCGGTCACCAACACCATGCACCAGCTGTGTACCCTCGCAGTACACGACGACCAGCACCATCTGTACTGTCTCTGTCTCACCTCTCAATCAGTCATTCAGATTCAGTCGCCCAGTCAGTCGACCAGTCACCCAGTCAGTCGACCAGTCGTCCAGTCAGTCGACCAGTCACCCAGTCAGTCGATCACTCAATCAGTCTGTAGGTCAATCACTCAGTCACTCAGCCGACGAGCCCATCAGCCCATAATTACACACGTCATCTCCACGACCAGCTAATCGCCCTCAGGCCAAGGGTCATATGGGCTGGCAGGGTCACGCAAGGTCATAGAGGACGGGTGAGAGGAGCCGATGACCTTGACCTTGACACCCTCTGTATAAGTGCCACTTGTGAAGACTGGCACTCGTAGTCAGTGCATCCCGTAGAGAGAGAGAGAGAGAGAGAGAGAGAGAGAGAGAGAGAGAGAGGTGGACGAATGCGACTGTTAAGTGTCTTGTCAGTTATAATGATTCACTAGTATGTATGTATGTATGTATGTGTGTATGTATGTATGTATGTGTCCAGCACTAACAAGTCTTTCTTTCTTACCATTTGTCTTTGTGGCCGATCTTTGCTGTGGACAGATGTTGTGTAAATAGATACAACCACCCCCCCCCTCTCTCTCTCTCTCTCTCTCTCTCTCTCTCTCTCTCTCTCTCTCTCTCTCTCTCTCTCTCTCTCTCTCTCTCTCTCTCTCTCTCTCTCTCTCTCTCTCAGACATAATCACCACCAGAAGTCACCAACTTACCTCGCTTACACCCAGGTACCTCCAGAATCTCCTAAAACACCTCGCTTACACCCAGGTACCTCCAGAACCTCCTAAAACACCTCGCTTACACCCAGGTACCTCCAGAACCTCCTAAAACACCTCGCTTACACCCAGGTACCTCCAGAACCTCCTAAAACACCTCGCTTACACCCAGGTACCTCCAGAACCTCCTAAAACACCTCGCTTACACCCAGGTACCTCCAGAACCTCCTAAAACACCGCGCTTACACCCAGGTACCTCCAGAACCTCCTAAAACACCTCGCTTACACCCAGGTACCTCCAGAACCTCCTAAAACACCTCGCTTACACCCAGGTACCTCCACCTCCTAAAACACTGAATCCCTTTTACCATCAGGCTAGAAACTCTCCGCGGAAGGAATCAAACTCTCTGTCTTTAACACTAAACCCTCTTCATCGTCAGGAGGCCAGAGTTCTTGCCCACAACCTCCTCTCTTTTTCCCCCCTTTCTTCTTATTTACTCTTTATTTGTTCTCTTTTTATTTTCCTTCTTCTTGTCTTCACCCCGCCCACCCATTAGCTCCTCCCCTTTCTGCCTTTATCACCACAATACTTTCCTCCTTCCCTCTCTTCTCCCCCTTTCCCTCCCTCCTTCCCTCCCTCCAAACGCTTGACATTATGACCCTCCCTTCCCTCCACCCGTAGGTTAGTGTTGCCATACGCTGCTCCCTACAATCCCCACCAGACACCCGGGGTCGTGGGACGGTGTTGCCATACGGAGTTCCTCGCAATACACAGACATCCCCCCCCCCTCCTCCTCCCCTGTAGCGAAACACTGGCTTCCCGCAATATATGTCGGATTATGATACTCCAGCTTTGTGATTTGGTGTTTCTTTTTTATGATGTAAGACTCATGAAAATAATACACAGTTTCTGTTCTGTTTATTCCAATTTATAAACACAGTGATCAGTGGTAAGTGTTGCCGACTAGAGGTCATTGTAAAAACTTAATGTAAACAGACCTAACCTAACCTAACCCAAATTATAATAAGGCCACCACCCCAGATGAGTGCTAGGGAGGAGAGGGGAGGGGGGTGGATGGGTAAAGAGTGTCGATTGACTTGAGATGAGAACAGAGAGCTTCCGGTGGTGGGGTCCGCTCGGTCGGGATTAATCTGTAGTGACTGGGACGGGAAGGAGTGAAGACCTCGATTTATTATTGGTTAATGTGAAGGAGAGGGAGATGTAATTATTCACAGGGGGAAATTGACACTATTACTAATGCCGATGATAGTAGTGGTGGTAGTTGTTGTAATTGTGGTTGTTGTAGTGATGGTAGTTGCTGTTGTCTTAGTAGTGGTGGTGGTAGTAGTAATAAATATAGTAGTAAATTCAGTATTAGAAGTAACAGTAGCAATAACAATAGCCTTGGCAACAGTACCAATAACGGTATAGCAGTATCATTAAACCCAATAACAGCCATGGCAGTAGCCCCTAGAAGTAGCATTAACATTACCGACAGAAGTAATTGTTCCTTTAAGTAACAGCACTAACATTTATAAGTAATACCAGTATCCCCCCTATAAGTAACACCAGTATCCCCCGATAAGTAACACCAGTATCACCCTATAAGTAACACCAGTATCCCCCTATAAGTAACGCCATTATCCGCTTATAAGTAACACCAGTAGCCCCGTGTAACACCAGTAGCCCATTTTAAGTAGCACTAACAACAAAAGGCACAATAACAACGCTAAACACAAGGGGGTTAAAAAAGAAAGGCTAGCGTGCGGGAAGAAGACCCAGACAAAGCTGTACTGTACCGCATTAACAGCACCACAGCGAGAGATGGTCATAACAGCAGTAAACACGAAGGATGTGCATAAGATTAGTGTGGCGTGTGAGGGAATGGAGTGTGATGGAGTAGTAGTAGGAGTAGGATGAGGAGGCATAGAAGAATTAGCAGTAATAGGAAGATGAGAGTGGTAATAGCAGTAAACATAAGTGTGTTTATGATTAGTGTGGAGGACGGGGGTGAGAGGGAGGTGCAGCCACGTGTGTTGTCAGTAATCGATGAAGCCTTTCCCTCTGGTCATGTTAGTCACCCCGCCCACACAAACCATATTGATCCGTCTGGCCCACCGACACAAGGACCCAGTTGCTCTGCTCGTTGCTCCTCCTCTTCTCCTCCTCCTCTACCCTCCCTCCTCTCTCTCTCCCCCTGTCTCTCTCCTTCCCCCCCCTCCCTCTCTCTCCCCCTTCCCCTCCACTACTCCCAGGACCTGATGAACGATAATGATCTATCCGAGTTACTGCTGGAATTATTGTTATTTTTCCTCTCTCTTAATATAATTAGAGTAGTTGTCCTTGAGGGGTGACTCTTGGAGTAGACTTTTGAGGGGATGGATA